AAATGTCTCGAGAGTAATCTATAATAACAAGATTACATGATACAAACGATGACCTGAATACTTGAATTACTAGTCAACTATACATTAGGCGAGACTTTAAGAGAATCAAGTCTCAAATTATATAAATTTATATTTAGAAATTAAAAACATAACTTTCAGATTTAAAAACATTTATTTAATAACGTAACGATAAATAGGATAAGTACATAATTATATTTAAAGCATTGACTATATTTGCCTTGACAGCATTAATTTTTGAAAACCATGTAATTTAGTGGTAGTGCTAAATGTAATTTAGAATTGTTGTCTTCATCGATCTGGCATCACCGTACGTTGTTATATTTTGTTGATTTAGTCGCCAAAAATCTAAAATGAATGTGTACGAGGGTTCCATGTTATGTTCACTAGTCTTACTTTCACATGGCACGTGCGCGCATCACTTTGAATTTTCAGTCCTAACCAATATGATTATGTTGTACTCAATGAATTTAATTCAAATACAACAATATTGTAAATGTCTTACATTAACATTTAATTATTAATTATTAAAAATTATTAACTTTTATTTTTTAAATCATATAAAAATTATTTCTATTTTAATTTATTATATAAAAAATACATTATCAAATGTATTAAAATTAAACTATTACTATTTTTTGGGTCATTGAATTAAACTCATACTAAATAATATTACGAAACGTAATGTAGAATTAATTGATTATTATTTTTTATAACTATTTTTTTTTATCTTTCTACATCATACTATCAATTTCGTATTACTTGCTTTTGTTCTTATGTTTTTTTCTTTAACATTTTTTATACAAATACAATTTCTCGATTTTTTTACAATAGCTTGTGATTAAGTAGTTCATTTTTCAAATAAAATAATATGAAAATAAAAATAAAAAACTAAAATCTATATTTAACAACATAAAATCTCTGTAAGAAAAATAGCGTATAAACTCATTCTTTCTTAATTATTCGTTTGCTTTAATGTTTAATAGAAATAATTTTAAATCGTTTAATATAAAATAGATGAATTCCTAAATTAGTTTCCATCATTAATTAACACTTGTATATTAAATACAAAAAAAAATATATTGTGGAAGAGTATTTTAGGGACAATTATTTGGTGGGAGTGTTTTTTTATAATTTTTTTTTTACTTTTTATAAAATTCAAATTTTTACTCAATATATTTATTTGAATTAAAATATAATATTTTAAAAAATAATTAATAATTAAAAGTATGATGACTTCTCATGGTCCATATGTTTAATGATTCACCTATTTACATGAAAGTTAGAGATATTTCTCTCTCCTCACATTTAGCATCACTAAGTTAGAGACATTTTTCTTTTCTCACGCTAAATGACAATGTGATCAAGTTAGAAGTGTTTCTATTTCCTCAGGCTTGACGTTATCGGCCCCACGTCCTACGTGATTAAAGTGGAGAATTCTTGATTCAAGTCATGTGCAACACTATTAAGGTGTGTCCAACATGATAGTAAAATATGCACTTGGTAAAATCATAAAATCTGTCGATCTACTTGAAACTCAAAAGATTTCAAGCATGCATAACAACAATTCACATTTGCTCTTCACCAACAACTGATTTCACACCTAAATAACGACATGCAACATTAATTAAGATAAAATCACCAACATTCACCTTTACAACCTCAAAGACCCCAAAACTCAACATGCACTAAGTCCCATCATAGATTCATCAATATAGCCATGAATTTAAAGAAATCTAGGAACATACAACTCAATAATTCAACTAATATTCAAGTTTTAGCTTTCCTTACCTCAAAATTGAAGAGAAACAAGAATGAGGAAAGAAAAATAAATCTACCAAGGCAACTCCACACCATGATCCTCAAAACTCGATTTTAGGTTCTCCAACACATTGATTCCAAACACAGTCAATCAGCCACACTCCAAGGAATAATTTATTGGTCAAAGAGGTCAATAGGATAAAGAGAAATCAGACTATCTCTATACTATTTCTCTCTAGTTTATTTTTCTAAGATTTTTGATAAATGAACTTGTGAAGAAATCTTAAAAGAAACTTTATATACCTTTTTCCTCTATGTTAATATGAATTTCTACTTAAATAAATCCCAAAACATATAAAATTTACGAGAATTCCTAAAATATAAGAGTTTCAATAACAAGTCACAAATCACTACAACATACAATTATTGATAAAATTAATAATAATTAATGAAAACGTACAACATTATAAAAAGGATTTTTTTTTCCACGATATAAGTTATTTATATTAAATAAAAAATATAATTTATATCTTTAAAATATCTATTTATTCAAATTTTAAATATAATTTATATATTAAAATATAATATTTATTTAAATATATAATCAACTCTTCCATCTAAAACACAAATGACTATTTTGCACAAGAGCATTTTTAAGAGTTTTTTTTTTAATTTTTTTTACAATAGAATTTTTAAGAATTCTTTTAGCTTTATGTCCAATTCAACTTTTATTTATTATAATTATTTATATTAAATTTTAATATTTTTAAATAAATTATCAATAATAAATCTGAAATATAAATTATATGTTTAAAAAACTCATTAATTTAAATTTTAGATATAATTTATAAGCTCAAACATAATATTTATTTATATATAAATTATTTTAAATTTTAGTAATATAATAAATATTTAAATTATATATTATACTTAATAAAATATTAATTTATTATAAAATTTATTTATAGATAATAAAATTTTGACCTGTAAAATATGCATACTAAAATACTACTAAATATTAAAACGTGGATGTTTTATTAGAAGTATAACTGTATAAGCATCATATTCTAATACTGAAAAGAATCAATTTCTAATATTAAACTAAAAACATATTTTTTTAGTTAAGTAAAAAGAAATAACAGATAAATGTTTCATGAGTGAAAAACAAAAAGGACACATTTAATTAATATGTAAGGTCAATGTAAAGATTTGTTTACGTGGTTTAATCATAAATTATTATATATGACATATTTTTATTAATTTTATAAAAATAATAATTTTAAAATTATATATGAAATAATTTTAATACTATTTATTGATTAATAGTATAAAAATTATACATGAAAATGTAACTAAAAAAACAATAATTGCTTGCTTCACAACAACAAAAATGGTAACATATTATTTTCTTTTGTTGGTCACGTCAGTACAGCTGTATCCGAGTACAAGACTTTTAGCCACTTTTAGTTTATTTTTGACAATGGTTTGGTGAGCCAAAACCCTTTTGCAACTTTGTTCAATAGAATTTGACATAAGAGAGAAAGAGAAAAAAATTGTTGTGGTGGAAAAAAAAACATATCTTTACGATAATTGAGAAGAAAATGGAGAAAAGAGAGATAAAAAATGTGTAATTTACTTGAAATTATAATTTTAATATATTTTTTTTCTTTGTCTAGCAAAATTTATAAACATTAACGTTAAATATATTTTTTTTCTTAAAAAAATTATCATCCCAACACTTCTTTTCCCATACTTATTGAGATGACATTTTTTTTTTCCAACAACATATACGTATACTTAATTCTATTAACTAATTATATAATTTTGGTGATCACTTTTTTCCTAGTTACATGACCATAATAATGTATATGAAGTTAGTTTTAAAAAATTGAATTAGATTTATAGTTTATTTTTAAGATAAAAATAAAATTATATTTAATTTAAATTATTTATTATAATTTTAAAAATAATTTAAATATTTAAAAATATTTATTTATTATAAATTTTAATTATGATGTCAGCACAAATTAGAAAGCGAAAACTTCACTCTCTTAATTAAATATCTACTCTTATCTTATAAATTAGAAACGGCAACTTAGAGATGGAGACTTTCACTCTTTTCAAATAGATTTTCAATATCTTCACTTGTCTTCTTTTGAACTGCATTTCACCCATTAATCTTGTAAATTAGTCAATTTTTTTCTTACATCGTCTCAAACTACTTTCATTTTATTACAGTTTGTATAATTGATCTTCTTAATCGTCTTAAACTACTTTCATTTTATCATTGTTTGTATAATTGATCTTCTTAATCATTTATCCTTTTTATTTTATACTCTTTTATCTCTATTTCTAAATTGAATTTCAAAGTTTTTCTTTATATTTTTCGATAATTAAAAATAATTTATATAACAACTTGAATTATTCATTATACATATAAAATATAATTTACATATTCAAAGATTTTATATTATATTTTAATTTTCATATAATTTACTTATTAAAAATATTTATTTAATTTAAATTTAAAATGTATAAAAATAAAAATTTTCTTATAAAAATAAAATAAAATATTTTAAAATTAATATTTATTCTCCTCTATTTTTCTTAATTTAAACTTATTTAGTATTAATTGATTTTCTTAAGTGTCTATCTCTTTCATTTTACACATTTTTAATACCCACCTTTAAATTAAATTTAAAATATTTTTAAAATTAATTATCAATAGTTTAAAAAAATTATATCAGAATTTAAATTATTCATTATATATTTAAATTTTTATTTATTATAACTTTTAACTGGAACATAATTTATATATTATAAATGTTTTTCAATATAAATTTTAATTAGGCTCAGGTTCATTTCGTATCCCTAGTTTTCAATCATACAAATTAGGTTTTTCAAATTTTACAAGTTTGCGATTTTGGTTTCTTCACCGGTATTAAATTTATTAAATATATTTAATTAATTTTATTGACATGACTTTGGATGATGATGTTTCATTGATCTGGCAATTGACACATTTCTTATATAACTTATTGACATGATTTAATTAAGTTAACAAATGTGTTATAACACATTAATTTTCACATCATTAAAATGAGTTGAGTATTTATCCAAAGATTAATGCAAACATCAAAATTATATAATTATATAATATCTGAAACACTCAATTTGTGCAATTAAAACTCAAGATCAAACTTACTTAATGTGATGCTTGTCCGCTATTCTCGAAGCTGATGCCAAACACATCGTCAATTTGGCTCGCGAGACTTACGAAAAGTGAATTTATGTTCTACTTCTTTTAATTCTGATTTGATGCGTTGGAAATAATGAATGTGATTGATATTTTCATTTGGTTTTGCCAGGGAGGGACCGTTGTTGGTGGTTGCATCTGGAAGGGACACAATCTCCGTTGCTAGTTCTATAAAACGTTTGGCTCCTGATCTTGTTTTTGTTGTTCAGGTTTGCGCTCACGTTTCGTGTCGATTTTGTTCATACAACTTCGATGTGATATCTTGTAAAGTCTCAGTGGTGGTGTTTTTGTTCAGATAAGCAATGTGATTCAATTCAAACTGTGGTATATATGTATTTACTTACACTAGGTTTTGCTTCTTTGTTAAAACTTAAAAGCGTAACTGCTGTATTTTAGTTGTTTTTTCTTTGCTTTGAAACTGCAAGGTGAAGTAATGAAGTAGGTTAAATGCCTTAAAATCCAACATATGGTTGACAAATGTTGGTGTTGCATTCTGACATAGGACTAGCAACTAGCAACCTACTTTTTTTGGCATGGCAATTTTCTATTTTAGCTTTCAGCTGTTATGCCAGTTTAGCTCTATGATGCCATGGCATGTCTTGAGTCTTACAGGAGACCGAGAAGACTCTTCACTTCTTCAATACTCTCTTTCGTGTCTAGAGCTTGTCTTTCTTTTGCTTTATTTTATTTGCATGGTACTATTTGTCTTAATGTCTAACTGATGTTTTTGGCCAAATAGTTTTAAGATGCTAAGCTGAGTCAGATGTTTTGAACTCTCAATTTATCCAATGAAAATAAATAATTTGTGCTTATTCTTAAGAAATATGAAATTGTCTATTAATGGGTCTCAATTTGCACTGTATGTGGTGGTGACTAATTGCACTTTGATATTTCTGTGCCGTTCATTGCTTCATTTAAGCATTGGTTTTGATTTGTAACTGATTTTTTCCCCATCTGGACAGATACAACATCCAAGGTCTCATTTGGATAGGTTTGACATGGTGATTACACCTCATCATGATTATTATCCTTTGACTCCAGAAGCACAGAGTCAGGTTCCTAAGTTTCTTAGAAGTTGGATAACTCCACGTGAGCCTCCAGATAGTCATGTGGTATGTGTAATGTGCTGCATATGATGTGATTGCGATTAGATTTTACTATACTGGAGATAATGAAATTACTTTGATGTTACTATTGTCTATCGCTGAGGATTTTATATGTGATAATTTACATTAGGTTCTGACCTTGGGAGCCTTACACCGAATAGATTTTGCTTCACTTCGCAGTGCTGCTCTTACATGGCAAGATGTGTTTGCACATGTTCCAAGGCCATTGCTCGTGGTCAACATTGGAGGACCAACAAGTAATTTCTATTATCCTTATCCTACTAATGTGTCCTAATTATTTCTTGCAGTTTTTCTGTGCTTAAATTCGAATATCTTCTTATTTGGGATAAATCTTTATATCATTGTAAGTGAAATGCTGGGGTGCATTAAAATTGTTAAGTTTGTGAAAAAAGAAGGAATAAGTAATAATATACCCCCAAAAGGAAAAAGAAAAATTGTTGGGATCCAATTGCAAGCTATGGGACTTGTGTCCATATTAGAAGTATGGCTTTTCTAATGTGGGGCTCATATCATATTATCACAAGGCCTTGTGCTCTCCAATTACAATGGCTAACTTTTGTGTGTGATTCTCCCAAGGTTCTTATAAAAAATCCTAGGGAATTAGGGGAATCAACAGAGGAAAGATGTTGTACATGAGTAGAAACCATATGAGGACTTTGCAGACAATTGGCAGTTGTTGTTTTGCTATATTGAAATTTACATTTTACAGTAGTACTGTAGTGATGGTTTAAAAGAAGACTGAACTTCTTGTAGAGTAACAACCCTAGGTCAGAATTGCAGTACAAATGATTTTTTTTTTCTATACATAAACCTTCTCATGAATTTAATAATTAGAAATTTTAGTGGTAGAGCTAGCTTTTCCTACCACCGCTATTCTCGAAGCTGATGCCAAACACATCGTCAATTTGGCTCGCGAGACTTACGAAAAGTGAATTTATGTTCTACTTCTTTTAATTCTGATTTGATGCGTTGGAAATAATGAATGTGATTGATATTTTCATTTGGTTTTGCCAGGGAGGGAAAGACTCAATAATAATATTAAAATAATAGGGTGTTACAATGCATGAGGGAACTAAAATTGTAATTATATATTTTATTTTTATATAAAAAAAGTAAAAAAAAAACATTTATCCTACATAATACATAAGATAAAATAATTGTTAATTTAATATAAAGGATTACAATAAACAAAGTATCTGGCAATACAGAAGAACCAAGAACCTAAAGTATTGATTGGATTTGGTGATATGAATTTTTAGGAGAGTGCATATCTCCGATGACATCATCAAAATATGCCCCAAAAGAAATAAACAAGTAAAACTAAAACAAGACACGAAAATTAAGACTTGTTCCACTGACACACAAGAGCCTGGCCCAGCTGATAAGCAAAAGGGATTTAAGACGTAGGCATGGAGAAATTACAAATTACAAAAAATTACAACTGGGTTGGGCTAACAACTAACAAGAAGAGAGAGATGACCAATTCAAAGGGACAAAACCATAATGATCATAAGTTCATAACATATACCAAAAGTTGAGAACACATTGGAAGGGCACAAAGACGTTTTCTTGGCCTTGCAACCGCGTGGAAGTTTCCAACCAATCCCTACTCAATAACTTTTCCCCTTTCACTCGGCGAATCACCCTACCCCACTCATCTCTACACATGTCACCTTCATCTTCTCTTATATATATTATCCCACCTTATTATTCGAAAATATGCAAACGGTAACTTACCTCAAAAATAACAAAACCAAGTACTAGGATGTCACACAACATGGAGGATCTCCCACCTGGTTTTCGCTTCTACCCAACAGAAGAAGAGTTACTTGCCTTCTATCTTCACAACCAGCTCCAAGGACAAAGACATGACATGAGTAGAGTTATTCCGGTCGTTGACATCCACGGCGTAGAGCCATGGACCCTCCCAAGTAATTCTATTAATTCACTCATCATTCTATACTATGTTTCTAATTCAAACACAAATGAGTTTGCTAAAATGGTTTTGCCTGACTGCCTGTGATCAGGCCTTGCAGGGGAGCTTTGTCGTGGAGACACTGAGCAATGGTTTTTCTTTTCCCCAAGACAAGAGAGAGAGGCCAGAGGAGGCAGACCCAACAGAACCACCGCCAGTGGCTATTGGAAGGCCACGGGCACTCCTGCCCATGTTTACTCTTCTCATAACAAAGTCATTGGCATGAAGAAAACCATGGTGTTTTACAAAGGGAAAGCTCCCACGGGGAGAAAAACCAAATGGAAGATGCATGAGTATAAAGCCATTGAACACCCCCCTGACCAATCCAACACTACCCCTCCAAAGGTATACATATACATATATATCATTATTATTACTAGCAAAAACAAGAGAGCTAGTTTTAACAATCATGCACTATCACCACTCACCAGCATAAAACACTTTTATACTTTCAATCAAATTGATGCTGCTTTCACATTTCGTATACATTCTGATGCTACTATAGTGTTTTTTGTTGTTGTTGTGTCATGTGTATAGTTGAGGCACGAATTCAGCTTGTGTAGAGTTTATGTGATATCGGGAAGCTTTCGGTCGTTTGATCGACGGCCACTAGAGGGATATTCAAGAGCTGTTGATGGGGACAGAGGTGGTGCTTCAACAAGTGCTCAACAGAGAGCACCCGTGGTGGATGGATCAAGCTCTTCTGAAACTTCCCATTCTGGAGGAGGAGGTGCTGCTCTTACCTCAGAGGCTGTGGCAGGGTCAAGTGGAACAAATTGGAATCAAAGTAATAATAGCGTTGAAGAACCATTTTGGGAATGGGAACAGCTAAATTGGCCATGACCCTTAGGCCTTAAGTCAAGAACATGCATAGACCTCTTCATTGAAGTAACAAATCAGGGCCAGAAATTAATCATCTAAATTGTAGGCGTAGTTTGGTAGGGGGCGTTATGTGACATAATCATTAATATTTGTTGTTTAGCATAAGATTGGTTTTCCCGGGAAAAATAAGATCCAAGCTGTCAATCTCCTTTGAACCTTTCTTTCTTAGTTACAAGTTAAGATGAAATTAATTGACATGTGGCAATTTCCTATTCCATGATGTCTACACAAGTGTTTCTTTCCTTCAAATTGTATCTAGTTCATTCACATGTGTTGTGAAAAATAGTTAGACCACTTCAAGTCTTGAATTAGGATCAGAACTTCGAAATTACTGCTGTCTGTTCAATCGATTCAAATAATATAAACTTTTAATAAGATTTTCAAATAGCATGCTTGAGCGGGTTAAGATAATTTAAGTGGAGTACAGGTAAGAGTCAACTGAGATTACGTTTTTATATTCATGTATTGAAAATCTGGTCAAATTCTGGGTGTTTTTCCTGCAGCTGGGAAAGGGATAGAAAGAGAAATGCATTCTTTCTGGCAGAAATTTTCAAATGCATGTTCTGTTGTTCATATTAGGATCATTACTATTTAAAAACTACATATCGTTTATATGATTTTATAAAATAACATGTGTAATGGATTTAATCACCTACTAAATTATCTAAGAATGTGCGTAAGAATTGAGAGTTGGTTGCGAACAAGAATAACGATGTTATATCTAACAATTATTTTCCTTTTTAATAATAATTTCCCGTCGATGTCAAAGTTGGTAACTTCGCGTGAAACGAATTCCCATAAGGATTAATTAACGACTAACATAAATCCGTCATTCCGTAAGAAATAAAAATATCACTATTTATTTTTACTAAGTAAGCCTTTGAACTCATACTCTCTAAGTAAATTTCTTATCATTATACCATTTAAATTAATGTTATTTTTTTAATTTTACTGATTAATAAATTCCTAAGCTATCTCATTTTTATTGCTATTATAATATATATATATATATATATATATATATATATTTATTTATTTATATTTACAGCTTTCCTATTATATATTTAAAACTCTTATTTTTGGAATATAATTTCCTTAGTTGCATAACTGATCAAATGACTGGATTACCCTTGTATCAAACTGGAAAATTACTTCAAACTATCCCACCTTACTTTTATAAAAATTAAGATTTTTTTTGTATAGTTGTATAAATTAAGATTAACATTTACTATTTAACTCATTTAATACATAATAATAGTTATTAATTTGTAATTAAAAAATAAAAGAAATTTAAATAAGAATTAACGTTAGTTCTTTTAATTTATTTATTTTTAATTGTATGAATTAATCATTTATAAAGTTATCTTAATTTTATATTTAGAACCTTATTCAAATAATCTCTCTATTTCACAGTGATTTTAACATTTGGAAAATATCATAAAAATAAATTATGTTCACTCTTTTCAATGTAACATTAATTAATTTTTCTTAATTTGTCTTTCTTAAATTATTCCATCACCATAATTAAAAATAATGTGTTTATTGAGAGAATGAACTATTTTATTAAAATTGTATTAAAAAAAAGTGATACATTTATTGTTATTTATGTGCAAAAATTTTAAATTGTAGTCATTACGGAAGTGTTTGAACAAATTTATACAATGTGTTATCTAAATTATATACATATATAAACACTATATTTTAACATATAACTCATATTTAAAATTTATATAAATAAATATTTTTAAGCATAAAAAATATATTTTAGATTTATGATAAATAATTTATATTGTGATACAAATTTATTTTTATTTATTGATAATTTATTTTAAAATATTAAATTTTAATTCATAAATAATTATGTTAAATAAAAAATAGATAAAAATTTAAAAGAATTTCAAAAAACTCTCTTATAAAAAAAAAGTTCTAAAAACAATCTCACACAAAAAAAAGGTTTATGTTTAATATATATAAATTGATTACTTAACCTATGTGATAACTTACTAGAAAATACCTATGTTTGAATCTTATCATTAATGTAATAGTTTATTTTCTTCATTATTTCATTGAAACTAGTTTTATGTTATTCTTCATTGCCCCTTTAGAAGTTTTTGCTTCTCTTTCTAAATTTTTTTTGTTATTATTCTTTATTTTTTCATTTCCCTTAAAGAAAAATTTACCTCTTGCACCCAAATTTCATTTTCCCCATCATAAAAAAAATACTCATAACTTTTTTTTTCTTCTAAAATTCCACATCTATCTTAATGAAAATTTCTTTGTCAAAGGTATGCAGCATCTGCTTTATTTTTGGTTTCGATACTATTTTTGATTCTATAGGTATTTTTTGTACAAAATTTTAAATCATAACATTATTGATTACAACTAACTAATTTAAATATGAATTAAGTAATTTTTTTTTCTTATATACAAGAACGAAATTGCATACAAATTTATTAAATAAAAATTTAATTAACTTATTTATCTAAACAATCAATGAGATTAAGACTTTTTAGATACCTGCCATTAACTTATTTAATACGTGATATTAATCATTAATGTGCCATTAAAATAATAAAAGAATATTTAAATACAAATTGATCTCAATCTCTTTAATTTAATTTTTTAATTCTACTGATTACGGTAGTTATTTTTTTTAATTTAATAAGGGGCTTAAAAATCCGACAAAAAAACTAGAATTCACGAGGGAAAAAACAACAAACCTATCAATTAGCAATAAAAAAATGTACTCAATTTAGCGAAGAGTTAAAACAATGTACTCCCTCAAGGAGAGTTAATCCTAACTTAGCAAAATTATCAGTTACTTGGTTTGTTTCTCGGAAGTCATGAACACAATCTAATTCAAAAAAATCTCTTGACATCCTGACAATCTAGTTGAAAAGAGAGTAACATGGACGTATTCGGGACACCCATTATTTAAAAATTGAACAACAATAGAGGAATCAGATTCTATTATAATGTGAGAATGTAATAATAAAAGAATCTTTAACTACAAATTGAGCTTAATTGACTGAGTCAACTCAAACAACTTCAAATAGAGTTAGGTTGAATTTGAAAAATGGTGATCTAAATGAAAGTGAGACTTTTCGACTCAAGTTGATAAACCAAATGGACTCAAGTCAAGCTAATCTAACATAGGGATGACAATGAGACCCCGTGGGACGGATAGTAGGATACTTGTGAATTATTTAAAAAACTTTAAGGTTATATTTGATGTTAAGTATATTAAAGATAAATAATTAATATTAATTTTTAAACTTGTAATTAATGATAATTTTTTTGAAACATTAAAATAAATAAAAAAATACAAGATAAAAATATGAATATTTAAACAATATTATTTAGTAGGTACCCGTAGGTATGGATACTACCATTTCCGTCCTGATCTTATTTATAAACAAATAAAAAAATATCCATACACGTTACCCGCATATATCTATTTAGCCTACCAATTTATTATTTGTGATGGGTTTTATTTGCACATATTCGTGAGCATAAATATTTTTGTCATCCCTAATCTAATAAGTTTTGGATGGCTTTGATGACTAATATGATATATAATGTTCTAAAAAATAATTATAATATTTATAATTTGAAATAGTTATAAAAGAAACAAAACACGTGAAATTTAAAGTTTTGTCTTAAACCATCGGAAATAATTATTTAGTAAATAACTAATTTTGTATATATATTATTAATAAAAAGTATTTATCAATTTTGTTAGTGATTAATAATCTATGTTGAAGAATAAAGTTGGCCACCTTTAATGCATCTCCTCTTCCAATCGTTTTTTTTCTAGACACAAAACTTTAACTTTAGACTATATTTAAAGAGATTAAATCTAATACCACTTAGACCAACAACTTATTAGTAAATAACTAAATTAATAATATATAAAGAAGAAATTACTTTTATTTTTATTAATACTATATTATAAATAATAAATACAATAATTGATAATATATAAGAAATAACTCTTCTCATTTATATTTTTATAAATTTTTCACTAATAAGATTAAATAGTACATTAATTTTTGTGTCTTTGCCTGTTTTGATTTAATAATTTATTTTGAATATATATAGATTCATATGAAAAATTAATGCATTTAATAATTATATTAATAAATTTTACTTTATAAATATTATATTATAATTAATAAATATATTAAACAATATTTTGTAAGGAAATAATCAGCTTATTAATATATTTAGATTTTTTCATTAATAACATCAATGTTATACTAATTTTGTGGTTTTATTCGTATATTTAAAAAATATTGCTTTAATGACTAAATATTTTATTAATATTTGTGCCTATTTTGCACTTAATTTTTTAAAAAAAAAAATTGGCCCATTAAAATATATTTGATGAATAATAAGAATTAAAGAATAAAGGAAAATGCAAACCAAAAGTCGTAAGTTCAAATAGTTCAACACTTAAACTCTTTAATTAAGGACTGAAGTTCAATTTCGTCTTGAATATGAAATTATGAGTGAAGGTATTACTTTACCTTTATAGCAAACACTAACTTGATGAAAAAATAATCATATTATCTATGTCTTTATATATAAGACTTTTTTCCCCTTTTTTTTTGCTTGTTTCTCGTTGTAAAATCACATTCTATTTGTTAGTTACATAAATAATATCCTCTTTAAAATAACTTTATTTAATAAACAATTATTTTAAATAAAATATAATAAATACTTCAAATTAATTAAATAAAAACTCTCTATTACTTATTAGGACCGGAGAAGATAATAAACAAAATAGATACATAGACACCTCTCTTCCAAATATTATTTTTAAGGAAAGGAAAAGCATCATGTTGGGCATGTTACTTGACGATTCCTATTTGTCTGCATGTAATTAATTGCTAAACTCTTTTAATAAAACACAACAACAAATCACCTTCCTCCATTCTGCACAATTTCCCTTCTACTTTTCTACACCGAAAATATGGCCACTCGCTTCATGTTATTCTCCGCACCGCCTCCGACCAAGCCTCACCAACCCCTCCACTCACCTACCCCTCTTCCCCAAACACACCACACACCATCAACAAAACGCAGAGCCACCAGGATCCACAGCACCAGCAAGTTTGGAAACTTCCTTCAGTTAAAGCCTCAGCACCAACCTCAAGCCTTGGATTTCGACCTTCCATGGTGCCACCCTTCTGATCGCGCCACTTTCGACGTCATCATCATCGGTGCTGGCCCTGCCGGCACAAGGCTCGCGGAGCAAGTGTCTCTCTATGGAGTCAAGGTTTGTTGTGTTGACCCTGATCCTCTACTTATGTGGCCTAACAACTATGGTGTGTGGGTCGATGAGTTCGAGAGCCTTGGTCTTGAGGATTGCCTTGACAAAACTTGGCCTATGGCGTGTGTTTATCTTAGTGACACCAAGACCAAGTACTTGGATCGTTCTTATGGAAGGGTTGGTAGGAGGAAGCTGAAGGAGAAATTGATTCAACGCTGTGTCTCCAATGGGGTTAGGTTCCACAAGGCAAAGGCATGGGAAATTCAGCACAAGGAGTTTGAGTCCACTGTTTTGTGTGATGATGGGGTAGAGCTGAAGGGGAGTTTGGTTGTGGATGCAAGTGGATTCGCTAGTACTTTTACAGCACTTGATGAGGTGAAAAGGAAAAACCGTGGCTTTCAGATTGCTCATGGTGTTTTGGTTGAAGTGGATGATCACCCTTTTGATTTGGACAAGATGGTTTTGATGGATTGGAGGGATTCTCATCTGGGGAATGAACCTTACTTGAGGGCTAGCAATTCAAGATTTCCTACTTTCCTCTATGCAATGCCGTTTAGTTCCAATTTGATATTTCTTGAAGAGACTTCACTTGTTAGCCGTCCAGTGTTGTCATACACGGAAGTGAAGATGAGGATGGTTGCAAGGCTGAGAAACTTGGGGATTAGAGTGAGGAGTGTGTTGGAGGATGAGAAGTGTTTGATTCCAATGGGAGGGCCTCTCCCAAGGAACCCTCAAGAAGTGATGGCTATTGGTGGAACTTCTGGGGTGGTGCACCCCTCCACTGGCTACATGGTGGCTAGAACAATGGCTGTGGCTCCTATTGTGGCTGCTGCTATAGCTGAGTGCCTTGGCTCCACCAGAATGATAAGAGGGAAACCACTTTATTCTAAGGTTTGGAACAGCATGTGGCCAATTGAGGAGAAGTTGGCGAGGGAGTTTTACTCTTTTGGAATGGAGACTCTCTTGAAGCTTGACTTGGATGGAACAAGGAGTTTCTTTGATGCCTTTTTTAACTTGAAGCCTTATTACTGGCAAGGGTTCCTCTCTTCTAGGTTGACTTTCAAGGAGCTTCTGTGGCTAAGCATAACACTCTTCGGACGTGCCTCCAATCCTTCTAGGCTTGATATTGTCACAAAGTGTCCATTGCCATTGGCTAAAATGATGGGCAATATCTCTTTGGAATGCATTGGATGATGGAGAGTGTTTGTCAAGTGTATGCTGGTTTTTGAACTTGCTTTTTGATTTGTCGAGTTTTCATTGATCTGATAATTTTGCTCCTGATTTAAAATCGTATCTGTTCAGTTGAATGTGAAATAGACATCCACATCTAATGCTCTTTTGGTATTTGTCTCCTCTGCCTTTATAGTTTTAGGCTGATCTCGAAGTCACTATTCCACTACTTATGCACTTTTGTCATTTGTTTATGTCTAATGAGTGAGGCAATATATCTAATTTGACTTAGTTTTATGAAAATAAAATTGTCCAAAATTAAAATTGGGTTTTTACTGGTATTTTAAACTAACTTTAAATTGATTTTTAGGTAAAAATAAATAAATTAAACCGACTCTGAATTCTCTGCAATCCCAGCCTCTCCAGCAAAATATTAACTTTTTATAATTTATTATAAAAACAGTTATTTTAATATTCTCACTTTTAACAACCATCAGAAGAAAATCTAATGGTCAATTTCTCTGCTGCAGAGACAGGACCGCCACACAATCCAAATTATAAAACATAAGCTGCTTTAACAGACAGAGAGAGCAAGTTATAATATTGAGCTAGCTGTGAGAGGTGCGTATAAGAAAGCTATGTATATAAACAATATGATTATGCAAATTCAATGAATTACACTATCAGAAATGCTCTGAGATAAAAATAAAATAAAATCAAACATAACATAAATATTCTAATATGAGATTTAAATTACAATACCCTTTCTGTGATTTAAAAATTACAATTTGTTTTTCAAGTAAAAGTATGATACACATATTATTATAGAGATAATATTTTAAAGAAATTTTCATTTTATGCAATTCTAAACATCACATTGTGTACTCTTTTTTTTTTTTTTTTTTTTTTTTTTT